AGTCATTGATGCCATTCAACTGTCCAGCTGTAGACCACAATGTTCTAAGTCACAGTTGGTGTATTTTTAAGACTTCTTCAAATACTCGAGTTGCACAAGTCACATTATTCAGATACAGGATGTTTCCACAAGAGTTTTGTGAGATATGGGTCAGACGTTTAACTGCTTTTTTCAGCCTGTCAGGAGAAACTGGTAAGAAATAGCGTCTCCTGTGATTTGGAAGTTGCGCTCCTGTAACGAGTAGGCTTGACTATCAGGCTGTGCTGTCGTGGTGACTGGTGTATTACTTGTCAGTAACCCTAATGTTCAGATTAAGTAAACCAACAAATGGTGAGCTAATGATACAGAAAGAAGCTAAACGAGCTGGAGTGTTTTATTCAGCATGGGTAAAATTAGCAGCAGCTTCAGTATGCAGTTTTGAGATGTTTTTGTTTGTGTATCTGGACACGAATTTTTTTGTATGTATACCAAGTATTCACAAAGAGTTCTTGACAATGCAAAGCTCGGCAGGATAGGCTGTCAGCCCTATAAATAGGCCAGACTTTGATTTTGTTGTAGACACAATATCATGTAGCTAAAAAAATCCACCCCAAACAAACCAAATTTTTGCTTTCTCTTCACACTTAAGTGGAATTGCCCCTTTTGTTTTCTTTCCTTATGTGGTGATTACCAAAATACTGAAGTTTAACTTGTCCTAGTCTAAGACAATTTACTGAAAAGCAGTATCCGTGATTCTAACTTCTAAAGCTTGGCATGCTGTTACAGAAGACTGCTGTCGTGCTGTGTCCAAGGAATGACTTTATTTTGTAACCATTAAAATGCTTTATTTCCAAATTGATGCTGGTTGTTTCATGGTGTGTTGCTGCTGATGCAAATTATGCTGTGTAAAAAGCATGGAGCTGTTCAAAATTTAGTCATGGGCATATCAGAACAGAAGTTTATTATGTGATTGCTTAGGTGAGGAGCTAGCATGGAGATTGAGCTAAACCTGGCTCCTTAATGAATTCTCACATGGAAAAGTATGTGTGCCCATGTGTGGACCCCCAGAGATGATGAAAAACAGTTGCATTGAAATGGAAATTATCTGGTCTTGCTATTGAGCAAGTAAGTATCTCTGCAAAGGCTGAAACTGCTACTTGCACAACAATACTCCTCCAGAAGAATCCTGCTGTAAGGTCCAAGAGCATCCTAATGTGTCTGTCACAGCAGTATTACAGCTCAGAGTAGATCAAAATAGCGCATCTTACTTTGAGATAGCTAGAAAAAGCCCTCAAAAATTACTAGATCCAGGGGATCTTTGTTTTTAGGAATCTAATGAATTTTCATTTTTTACTACTTCTGTGGCATAGAGCCATGAAACTTGCCAAGCTGGGGTTTTTGGTGAAAAGCAAAATGCCTGGCTTCATTCTGGGCGTGGTGGGGGAACTTGAGAATAATTTAGTCTTGTACTACATAAACCAGAAATAATTCCATACATTAGTAGACTGTTTTAAAAAAAAAAAAATTAGACTTTTTATTTGAACTGTCACCAACAAACTTGCTCCTGAAATGAGGTGGATTCTGACATCGATTTCACACTTGAAGGCCCTACTCCCTCCTTTGCTATAGGAATTCAGGTGGTTCTAGGCTTCTGTGCCAGAAACTGGTGAAATGCTGCATTGGCAGATTACTATTTTGTGCAGTGCAAATCTGGAATTTATTATAGTGTCTTCAGTATGCTGTGAATGTGCTATAGAAAGCATGCAACATTTATGGAGGCATAGTTGCAGATGGAGAGAATATGAATCCGCGCAGCTGATGACTTCTACACATCACTTAAGTTTGAGAGTGAATTCTAATGTTTGAATCCATTGTGTATAAGAATATATGACATAGTATGGCAGCTAAATTGTTTATATACATGCTACTTGTACTTTCTGTAGTAATTCAGCTAGCCTGTTCTGTTTCTAACTCTCTCCTATAAAACAGCAAAAATAATCTTTCTTTAGTTTTCTTGTGCACATTGAAGTAGGATGACTAATAATTCATGTATTTGTAGTTTGCTTACAGAATTTGTATATGTTCGTTACTATATGTGACTTGGGGAGGTATCTAGTGGTGGTGTACTTGTATAAACTGTCACATCTCCAAAGTACTTATAATTAAAGGTGCTTAAGAATATTAGTGAAGAATGCCACCTGGAGGTAATAGATGTGAACAGGTGGCTGAATGGTATAAAAAATTCAGCTTAATTTGCTTTCAGAGTTCTGCCTGACACTATCTGACAAGGGTGCTGAGAAAGCTGCCTGTCATGAGGAGTTTAAGAGGGAATGCAGAAAGTGCTCAGAGGGAACAGGCTGTGTCTCATGAGAGAGCAATAGGAAACTTGGCCACTGGGGGGGGAAGGAGGAAGAGAGGAGCGGAGTTGGGCAGAGCTTTCCAAGTAAACACTAAGGGCCTTCACCCTTGTAATGAAAAATAAGGATGATGTCCAAATGGTGCCTGAGGGCAGAGTGATTACTGAGGGAATGAACTCAACTCCTTAATTTTTTAATTAAGAGGACCAAAACCTGGCTTTTAAAAAGATGATGGCTGTCATTTGGGCGAACCCTAGTGAAAGCAGGTAAGCTTGGCAGAAAGATTGCAAAGGAAGGGGCAGGTTTAGAGAAACTGGGGGGAAAGGAGAGGGATGGGATCTCACAGTTTGAAACCAGACAAAAAGGAAGAAACTGAGCAGGGCAGCACAAGGGCAAGCCCTGGGAGACAACAGGCAATACCCATTCACAAAAAGTGTTTAAAAGTCTGTCAGCATCTTGAAGCTCCATTTAATTTGTTGTCCAGGCTCTCAAGCACAAATTCTGGTTGGTGGTTACTAAAAGAGATGAAACCTATAATTATTTTGTGGGCAAACAAAGACTGCTTTTAATGAATTCTACAATTAAACTGGCTGCTGGCATTGCTTCTGCCGTACCCAGAATCTGCTATGTAAGCTTTACAAGGAGGATTTATTTTCTGCTTTGCTTATAGCGTGAAGGGAGGTTTCTTTTATTCCTCTTACTGTTACGTGAGATGATTATTGGTGTTATAGCAAGGTCCTGTGCCTTTTCTGGTCACAAGCATCAATCCCCATCTACCTTCTCAAAAATGGTAGAAATCATACTAAATATAGTATTCTTCTTGAATTGTATATTTTATTCTAAAAAAATTTTTAGAGGGACTGGTTATGCTGATACAGCTGTGGACTTTTCTGAACTTGTTGCCTCATCTTAACTTTTAGACTAATCTGTTGTTTGGAAGTTTGGACGTAATTGGTCTTTGTCACACAGCCTGGATTGATACTGAATTAGTAAGAAATCTTCTGAAGACCACTTAATTTAAAAGCTGTGTACCAAAATTAAATTTAAAAGCTGTCATGTTTCTGAAATGGCAAAGACTTTTAAACTCTCTACAGTGAAACAAGTAGGACTAGCGACTTAGGCTTAGTGAAAAATTTAGAATGAAAGATCAGGAAAAAAATGTAAAATGTTCTCCTTTTTCAATTTCAAAATAATAAAACTTTAACTTTCTAATTAGAAAAAGGACATTGAGCTAGTTTCCTATTTTCTCCATCACATTCTCATAACAGCAAAATTTTCCTAAATAAAAGGGAACTTCTTCAGATTCCCCAGAGATTTTCAAAAATTGTACTCAAAATACTTCAAGTTCTGCATCTCACTTTTTAGAGTGATAAATGAGATAGGAAGTATAGTTCGTGGGAAAAGCGCCGTAGACATACACTGAGAAGGTTATGGATAAATCACAATAACTCTGAAATATATCTACTACAATGGCTTTAAAGATATATAGACCATTGTAGGGAGGGAAAATGATATTATTTTTATCTCCATCAAGAATCTGATACATGACTGAGGGCCATTTTAATTCAAGTCCATTCGTATGTAGTTTCTTCTGGTCCATGCAGTATTTGGATCTGGAGGCTCCTGTTCCTCTAGCAAAGAAATCCAATTTTGAGGTTGAGAGATGCAGTTGACATCATGCACAGTCAAAAGATAATCATAATTATGCATTCCCTTTATTTCAAACAGAACAAATTCAGCAGGGACATGTTCCTGAAATGTATTGTTTTCCCATAACGCAAAAATTGGGACCCAGGGATTTTTATGACATACCAGAAGATGAAATTCCAGATTTGTAAAGTTGTATTTGATCTGTTGATCATCCTGCTGTATATGTTTTCTGGCGAGAAAGTATAAGCTGCATATTTTATGGCTGTTAGCATAACTGAAATTATTTCTGTGCTGCTTCCTGAATGCGGCCTTTGTCACAGGCTGTTACATTTTCTACAAATCTGATGTGCTTTGTAGGTGGGCAGGACACTACAAGAAGCGCAGTCAGGGGAGGCACATCAATACAACAGATGGGGTTGTCGGGGTGTCCACGGTGACAGTAGTCATCTCTCGGTCACCTACACTGTCACAGAAATCAGCATCTGCAAACTCAGAGAAATACTGCTGCTTCGGAACTGTGTGCAAGAGGTATTTGGTGTTTCCATAGTCTGTAAATCCCACTTCAATTACATACTCACTGAAAGTCGTCACATGAGGGTTGCTCACTGTCATCAAGGGTGTGGACCTTTTGCCTGGCTTGGGCACAGATATGGCCTCCAAAGGCAAACTTTCATTCATGTCAATGTAATAATCTTGTTTTGGAAGTCTCCTATGAGGATTTCCAAAGTGTAGGACTGCTGAGATCTCCAGCCTGCGAACTGCAAGCTGAGCTTGCATTTATTGAAGTCATACAGCTGACTGAAATTGTTAATCTGATTAGCATATATTTAGAATGAAAGATCAGGAAAAAAAAATGAAAAATGTTCTCCTTTTTCAATTTCAAAATAATAAAACTTTAACTTTCTAATTAGAAAAAGGACATTGAGCTAGTTTCCTATTTTCTCCATCACATTCTCATAACAGCAACAATAAAATTTTCCTAAGTAAAAGGGAACTTCTCCAGATTCTCCAGAAGAATTTCAAAGTCTCAAAAGTTCCATTTTTCAAAAGTTTTTTTCAAAAAGTTCCACTCAAAACACTTTAAGTTCTGCATGTCACTTTTTAGAGTGGTAATTCACAGATCTACCAGCATAGCCAGGGCTGAGTAAAGTCAGCCACCCTTTCTTCAATGAGCATCACTGTTTTTCAAATCTATGCTCACATCCTTGGCAATGTGCACCACGCTAGTGACTCAGCTGATGCTGCCGTGGCAGAGCTGTCTGTCCTGGGTCAGGACTACAATCTGGGAGCTGCTAGCAGTCACAAGTGAGGAACCGCTATCAGAGAAGGTAGTACTTTGAAAGGTCTCCAAGGGCATGGCAGTCACTTCTTCCATCGTCAAACCATTGCTAGCAAATATAATTAAAGTATCTATTGTCCAGAGGATGATGAAACCCTGCAAGGCAAGATTCCGGATACTCCAAAGTTTAGCAGGGCCTTTGAGCAGTAGGTAGAAGGTAATAGAGCTATGATTAGACATATGGTTGTTTCGGTACTGCTGTATCTGAAATAGGCCCCTGCTGCCTTCCCGGCTCCACCCTCTCCGCTTCTGTGGACCAGCAGGCCCGTCACAGCAAAGGAGATGAAATTGTAGGCCCCGCGCAGCACTCCTTTCTCTCTTGTACTGGTCTCAATGCGTGTAAACGTGTAACCCCTGTCCCATGAAAAGAGTTGGCTCTTGGAGCCTGAGCGCCTGGTGTTGTGAGGAAAAAGGAGCTTGCACTGGGGAGCACTGCACTGCACTTCTGTGTAGAAGCAATGGGTGTCTGAGAGTGTGGACATGGGGGACATGACTCCCGCTGGTGGGATGCACCTGTTGAGGCTCTTGAAATACACATAGGCCTGGCTGTTGACCGCCATTGAGAGCCCATCCTTGCGTGTGAAGGCAACCGTGCTGATAATGGCTTCCTTGCCCTCAAGCTTTTCTGGGCTAGAGAGCGGGGAAAGGCTGCTCTCAAAAGCATCCAGGTTGATGAAAACTTCCTTCCCTAGATACATGGCCGCTTTTGGCTCCTGCCCACCGGGGCCATGCCCCTCACAGGGGTGCTACAGGACCATGGACCTGCCACTGCCATGGCTTATCTGGCTTCGCATCGTGGCCAAAACATGTTGAGTATGCCAGCCGCGCATGGCTGCAACCCAAGCCAACGCTGCAGTCCCACAAGCAGAGCCACAGACACAGATTGGCCACCAGCACCTGCCAGGGCTGAGGCGCCATGTCCCTGTTGGCTGAGGGCTGCTTGGAAGGGCTGGGACCGGCGGTGGCAGTTGGGGTGAGGCTGGGGCTTCTACATGGCGGTTAGCCCACTCCCCCCGTCAGAGAGGCGTTTCTGCTAACGGTCGTGGAGGGCAAAGGCGGGGGAAGTGACGGTGACTGCCCTGGGTGCTGCCAAGGGGCCGGCTACAGCGAAGAGTGAGGTGCCTTCAAAGGGGTCATCTTCAGCAGGTAGGTTTCTTCACTGACCTCTGCCATGGCCTGAGCACAGCGAAGGCGTTTTTGTTAAGCCGTTGTCCTGTACAGCTTCATTGCTGGGCGGTGGCCAGCAGGCTTTTTTAACGTGAAATTAAATTTGCATAAATATGTGATCCAAGCCTAGGTTTGAGCACAGCTTTCACTGTCCCCTTGCAGGACAGGCGCTAATGGCAGGGGCTGGGGGGCTGTGGAGACCTGGGGCGCGCCCCTCGTGTTGGCTGGGGCCCAGAGGGCAGCAGCACGGTCTGCCAGCAGGCCCTGCCTTTTGATCGCATCCGGTGTCCGGGTAGCGCAAGGGAGCCGGTACGGCTTAGGGGCCTAGGGCGTGATTTTACATTGATTATTGAGGGGGGAGGGAGGCGAACGCCCTACAACCACACTTTTTTACTGGGGCTTACCATGTTACCAGCTCTCCTTCAACCATCTGAAGCTTAAGCCTTGTCCAAATTAAGCACCGGCTGTCGCCATTAGTCGCGCAGAGGCTGCTGGCAGTCCTTGGCAGGGTGGGGTGTTCCTCCCTCCAGCAGCACCGGGGCAGTGCTGCAGCAGGCAGAGGGGACAAGGGTGGCATTGCACAACCCCCTGGATGTGGGAGGTGGGAGATGCTACAGGAGCACTGTACACCCCTCTATATCTGCAAAACTTTTCTCTCTGACACTGAAAAATGTAGGTAGCGGTTCTGTCACGTTGCTACTTCTCACGTCTTTTCTTATAGTAGTGGGAAGTTGGAAGATTGCTTGATTCTGCTATTGCCTACTGTGTTCACTGAGCATTTTATCAACAGCTTTGTGAGATTTATCTATGTTGTCGTTGGTATTGAATACTTGTCTCCGGTGCCATGGGAAATACATAGAAATTGCGCTGCTGAATACGGTGGGTGCGCTACCGCTGTATCCAAATTGAACGAGTTGAGCACTGCTGCCATCTAGTGCTTTGTGCTTCTAAATGTCTTGTCTTCTGTCTCAGCAGTAGGTGGACATCACTTTTTTTTCTTCAGAGCTGGATACTGGGCCTGCTGGCACCTCCAAGCCAGCTACAGGAGATACTGTGGGATCTAGGAGTCTCTCAGTCAGCCTCTGTGTGTGAGACAACTGAAGGAGTTGGACCAGGAGGTCCAGGTCTGCTGTGGTAGATACTGTGGAGTCTGGAGGTCAACCAAAAGACCCATCTGTCTGTCTCTGTACGCAAAGCAACTGGAGATGAGAGGATCTAAGGGTCCTGGGTGGACTGAGTGTCCAAGGCCAGATACTGGAGGGATCCACGGGGGGCGAGGGGGATGTCCGTATGTGTGTTGGTGTGAGCAATAGGGCTCCTGTGTACGAGCAACTGGAGTACGGTTGTGGTCATTGGGTGCTCATCTGCCTAGATGCCTGCAGCTGAGGGAAACCAAGGATCCAAGGGCCAGCTACTGGGTAAACCAAGTATCTAAAGATACTTGCTGTGGTATCCGTAGTGTCCCTCTGGGGGTGCATGCATGTAACTGTGAGTGAGGGGGTCTGCATCAGCAAATGGAGTGGGGCTGTGGCCCTTGGGCCTTGTAATTGTCCATGTGTCAGCAACTGGGGAGACCTGGGATCCAGGGGCTAGCTACTGGGCAGTCTCAGTGTGTGAGGCCAATTGCTGGAGGGATCCACACTGTATGTATTTCCCACTATCAGACCTTCATCCTGATCTGCCGTTTGTGTTTGCGTGACTGCTATGTTGTCCTTCTGTTTTGATCTGTGGAGCTGGCCATGTGTAATATGTATTATACACACGTGCCCATGCGTGTGCCTATTGGGAAAATGTGCTCAACCTCACTACTGTCTGAAGCTGACAACATGGAGCTGCAGCAGCCTTGCCTCTACCAGGACAGATTCAGCAACTCCTAACGTCATTTCTGTATCATTCAGCTTCAGGTGAAAGAAGCAGTGGGGGAAATAATGTAGGGAGAGCTCAGTTCTATAATTAGAAACTTATCAATAGAAGTGTTGGAGATCTATTTCCATTCCACTGAGTCCTTACACAGAAAGCCAAATAACATTCTCTGTTATCCTTCATCTCATAGATCATAGATAAATATTGCTAACTCTGTGGATTCAAGACTTGAAGCCAACAAAGGAAATGAGCACCAATTCACTTTCAGTTTTGACTATGAGTAGTTTTTGCTCAGATACAAATTCACTAGTGACCTGTGCCTCGAAACATCGACTTTTCTGTAACGATGAGGATTATGCGTTCCCTGGTTAATATGCTTTTAAAAACTTCAGTCATAGATTTGTTTACTAAGTAACTTGGGACTCTTCCTGGAATTATATGTCTTCCCTCTGGACAGGGAAGGTCCCCAAACTATGTCTATAAGTATAATTTCTTGATGTTTGGGAAAAGTTCTTAGCATTAGGAAGTGATACAGTTTCTTAAAATAAACTCAACAGCACTTTGATTTGACTTTTGAGGTAGGGTTTTGCTAAGTTCAGCAGCAGAATACAAAGGTTCAAAGTAACCCACAGTTACTTACGTTGTGTGTTACTCCAGAAGGAATGCACAAAATGCCAATATAAAAATGGAAGAATTTAGTGTTTGGATTTGTTGACAGAGTTCCTGTTCAATAGAAGTAAACGCAATACCCACGGCCTGTGTGGGTCCCACTGCATAGGTTGTATTTTGAGCTGTTATCAAATAGATATCTTTCCATGTGTAACACAGAGCCATTTATGTATAGCATGTTCGTTAAGATTAAAAGGTAAATATAATGAATTATTTTAGGTTGTGAGAAACATTCTGTCAAAGTGCTAGAGTGAGTGGAAAATACCTATGCCTTGGGGAGGAGGATAGTGTATAAATAGTATGATGAAAATGAAAAAAAATTTTTTTGATGGCTTTCATTATTTAAACATGAGGTCACAATAGCTACATAACGCGAGGAAACTCAGTAATATACCAAAGCTTTCTCACTGATCTAAAGTAAGTTTTCCCTCCACTGCTAAACAACAAAATCAACATTTCTATTATTATTCAGTTGTAAAATGCAAGAATGGCTGCCTTGCTGAAAGCAGCCACCCTGCTGGTGAGACTGCTTGGAGGAGAATGGGATCATATGTGGTACAGTCATGACTACGCTCCCCCCACTAATGGGGACAGAATTTCTCTTCAACTTAGTTCCCAAAGATAGTCATGAAATATAAAACCAGGCTTTCACCTTTACTCAAAAGATTTAATTTTAAAGCTCATTATCTACTTCAGCATCTACTGTGATATAGAAACGTCAATACTAAAGTGTCATCTA